CTGGGAGCCAGTGTAGAGGATGGGCCTGGGTTCCCCTACCAGCCTCTGGTAGGGTGGCGTGAAGCCCTGGGAAAATCATCTACCGACCGCTGGGGCCAGAACCAAGGGCGGCAGAGGGGGTCAGGCGTTTGTTTTTCTTGGACTGTCTGTTACCCCAGAAGGGGTGGGATGGCTGTGACCTGGCCGGAGGGCCGAGTCGTGAAATGAGGCAGACCACCGCAGGGACTGGAGCAACCGTCCCATGGGGACATTAGAGGAGGAAAGCCTGGTATGCCATGCCCAGCCACAAGGGGGCATGCCAGCAGCAGGACCCTTCCACGGTCTTCTAATCCCTACGTGTCATGACACCAATCATACAAAGCATCAGCTGCGTTCAGAAATCTGCACACAGTGATTGGTGACCATGTCGCTGTGGCATCAGCCTGTGCACTGCAAACCATGGATTTTCGCATGCCAACCACCATTTAGACACCCCGCTGGCCACCTTGCACTTGCCACCCCCTGATTTAAGCGTGCAATCCCTGGACGTGTGGGCAAATGAGATGTGCAGTCGCGCCAGCATTACTGCAGGCTGCCCTGGGCTACCCAGAAGACCCATATGCATCTGAACATAGATGGGGCCTGTTGCTGAGCTGGGGGCAGGTCCCAGGCTCTTACGTAAACATGGAAGTGACTACTGGCCCTGGGCTTGCTGTAGTAAACTGGGGGTTTCCATCTAGTTTTGAGAGGTACTTTCACATCATAGGCAACTTCCATGTGGTTAAACGAAGGTTCCCTCCCTTCCTGCCCAGACGTTCTTCTTCCAGTAGTTTCGTTATAAGGGCAAGGCAGGGAAATGTCATGCTCTGATATTATTTATCCCCTGGCTCTGAGTTAAGGTGACCAGACAGCAAGTGTGAAAAATCGGGACGGGGGTGGGGGTAATAGGAGCCTATATAAGAAAAAGCCCCCAAAATCGGGACTGTCCCTATAAAATCAGGACATCTGGTCACCCTACTTCTGAGCACCCTGGGCCTTTACACTTCACGACATGGTCACTGTCTTCCCATGAGCACTGAAGGGAATGGGAGCACACGGATGAGTAAAGCAAGCAGAATCAAGTTCCTAACATGCATTTTCCCCTCTGTCAATGTGCCCGGTGTGTGTGGTCCTGTGTGAAGCAGATTATTGTGCCAGTCGCTTTGTGTGCTTTCCACACTCTAAGGTAATCTCCCATGAAAATCCCTCTTTTGATCCCACACTGAAGCAGTCAGGAGAGGGACCCCAGAGAAGGGTAAGGAGATGGGGGGATGGGAAGGATCAAACCACAGCAGAGATGTGTCGTTAATGAGCCAATCAAAGGGCAGGTTGCCAGGGTTCTCCAGAGCCCACCCTTACGGGAACTCCCAGTGCCCCACGTCCGTATCTCAGAGCTGGGCTGACTCCCAACTCCCCTCGCTTTGTGCACGGATCACACACACCACACACACACACACACACACACCCCGGACGGTATATTCCCCCATGCCAGGAGCTGTTCACCCTTCGCCATGGTCCCTCCAGGCGTGAGCTGCTGGTGTGTACCTGACCCTTAGAGCCCCCGTGGGCCATAGCAGTGTGTGGCAGCAATCACAGAGCCCAAACCTGACCTGGAGCCGTGGGATCCTGGGAAGTAGGTGGTGAGGGGGACGGTTAACAGCTGGGAAGGGAAGCGGGAAAAGACAAAGCCACATTGGAATGAGTCTCTGGGCTGAAGATAATGGACATCCTAAAGCTAAACCATAAATATGCTGCAGCGGGGGTAGAACCTGCACCCTTGGCCTCTGAAAACACAGGCGTCTGCCACGTGAGCGAAAGGAGAATGTCTATTAACGCTCACCGCCAGGGCTTAGACCCCAGGGCCATGCATACACGCCTAGTCATGCCCCCGTTGAAGTCAGGTGTGGAGAGACCCACCCACTTCAGTGGAAGCAGTCTTAGGCCTGAGGCATCAGAGCAATTCAATGGGTCCCTCGGGAGTGGCCCTGCCGTGGCCTGGGCTGCTGTGTGGGGTTTCAACGCAGCACGGCAGCAAAAGTGGCTTCTCTGGGAGCAATAACGCAACAAGGTGTCACTCAACCAATACAAACCCGCTTGGACAGCAACACCTCGTGTCCCGCCACGCCCGGTAAGCCCGTGACCGGGTGAGTCTTGTTAACTGTGCTCACAGAATGGGTTCCTGGAAGGGAAAGAAAATTAACATAAGACATTTCCTAAATCTCGATCGACTGAAACAGCTCCATGGTACCCAGTCCCTTAGGACTGGAAGTGAGGAAAGCCCAGCTAGGCCTAGAGAATGATGCAATATGATCTTACCAATTCAATCGATTCCTGCCTTTGATGGGCTAGAAATGCCCAGCTGGACCAGTGACAAATATTTCCAGAGTCAGTGAACTCCTCCAAGGATGTGAAAGGAAAAAAAAATAAGTGGATCCCTTTGAATAAGCATCCAAATCATTGCAAGCAGATCTAGACCAGGGATTGGCAACGTTTGGCCCGCGGCCCACCAGGGTAAGCCCCCTGGCGGGCCGGGCCGGTTTGTTTACTTGCCACGTCCACAGGTTCGGCCGATTGTGGCTCCCACTGGCCGTGGTTCGCCGCTCCAGGCCAATGGGGGCTGTAGGAAGCAGTGCGGGCCAAGAGATATGCTGTCTGCGGCTTCCTGCAGCCCCCATTGGCCTGCAGCACCGAACCGCGGCCAGTGGGAGCTACAATTGACCAAACCTGCAGACGTGGCAGGTAAATAAACCGGCCCGGCCCGCCAAGGGGCTTATCCTGGCGGGTCTTGTGCCAAACAATCCCTGATCTAGACCCTCAGAAGCGACCCCAGCGCTGGTTTTTAACCTGCACTCTCAGCTGAAATCCCTGGAGAGTTCTGATTAAAACCAATCAGTGGCACAGCGTGCAGGATCATGCTCTGAGTGTTGGTTCTTTTAGCTCTATGAGACAGCCGGGGCCAGCTGCATTTAGCAAACGTGTATGTAACACCTGCTGCGCCTGGAAACCCCTCTTTTGCACAGGCCAGCAGGTACTGAGTGAGTAAGTAGCACAAAAGCAGTTACTTGTCTGGACCCATGTGAGTTTTAAGTGATTGTGCCCCGAAGCTTCAAGCAAGGTGTAGGCCCGTTATGCCAGGCACTGTACAGAGATGGAATAAATGACAGATCCTGCCCCAAAGCCCTGATAGTCTAAAAGACAAAGCGTAACAGGAGGGTGGGTCAGGCAGACAGGCTGGGGGTGGTGGAGACGGTAATAAAATTAATAGAAGGTGCCTAATTCTTAGCCAATCGAGGGCAGTGACCACGATCTGTCACCTGGCTGGCCATAACCAGGGTACGGTTTTCCGGGCTGTGCGTGCAAACCGCTGGGCCACGCTGCAGTTGAATTGCTGAAGCCTGACTGTGATGATGTAAATGATCAGATCAGGCAAGCTGCACTGACTGCACAGCTCCCTGCCAGCTACAGTTACATGAAGGTCCGGAGCCCAATTCTCCCTTCATTCGCACCCTTGTAAGTCCATAACGTCTGCGGCATTGCTCCTGATTTACCCCGAGGTTGCGGAGAGGGAGAGCCAGGCCCTCTCGGCAGATCTGGGGCTCTAGGAATAAAGGCCCAGGTTTTGATGCCAGCTAACAGGCCGATCTGCAGAAGCTGCCAGCCCGGAGAAGAGCGCTTAGAATTGCTCAACTCTTCCTCCACTTCTGCTTTGAAAATGCATTGCAGACGTTTCCGCAGCCTTGTAGTGAGTACATGTTTTTGCAATCCAGGGCTGGTCAAATGACGGCCTCCCTCCCCCTCCATGCCAAGTTCTAAACGGTGCAGACTGCCTCTTGTTTCCTAACATACCAGAAAACAGTTTTATGCAAAAACTAAACTTTGGGAACCAGTGTGGCAAGAACAGACTTTTGTAACCTCTTTACTTGGGTGTTAGCAAATCGCTCAGGGAAAGGTCCTTCTGAAGTGGCCAGAGAGTTATGATGAAGGAAGCAGAATGAAGAGTAGAATTGTAAATAGAAAAGAAAATATATAGAATTATTCTTTGTAGCAATCCCCAAAGCCAAGGTCAAGGCCTCATTGTGCGGGGTGGGGCACAAACCCAGAGTAAATCTTTTCCCCAAGGAGCAGACAGTCTAAATAGACGAGACAAAGGGTGATGGGGAAAACAGAGGCAGAGAGAAGTGAAATGACTTAAGAAGTCACAAAGCAGGTCAGTAGCTGAGCCAGGAACAGAAGCCGGCTCTCCCAAGTTCCCACCTGTAGTGAGGCGGTGTGGTTCCCCACCGCCCCGGAGAGAGACGAGTCCCTCCGGAGACCAGAGTGAGCGGAGCCAGGGAGCTCTGAGCCCGCCCTCCAGAGGGTCAGGCGTTGCCCCGGAAGTATAAAGACCCGACCTTATAAAATCATGAGTGCTGTGGAGAAAGTGAACAAGGAAACGTTATTTACTTGTTCCCATAATAGAAGAACTAGGGGCCACCGAATGAAATTAATGGACAGCAGGTTTAAAACAAATAAAAGGAAGTTCTTCTTCACCCAGCGCACAGTCAACCTGTGGAACTCCTTGCCTGAGGAGGTTGTGAAGGCTAGGACTATAACAGGGTTTAAAAGAGAACTAGATAAATTCATGGAGGTTAAGTCCATTAATGGCTATTAGCCAGGATGGGTAAGGAATGGTGTCCCTAGCCACTGTTTGTCAGAGGGTGGAGACAGATGGCAGGAGAGAGATCACTTGATCATTACCTGTTAGGTTCACTCCCTCTGGGGCACCTGGCATTGGCCACTGTCGGTACACAGGATACTGGACTGGATTAGGGTGACCAGACAGCAAGTGTAAAAAATTGGGACAGGGGTGGGGGGTAATAGGAGCCTATATAAGAAAAAAACCCAAATATCAGGACTGTCCCTATAAAATCGGGACATCTGGTCACCCTAGACTGGATGGACCTTTGGTCTGACCCAGTATGGCCGTTCTTATGTTCTTATAGTCTCAGAGCTCATTGAGAGAGCAACTGCCGGGGAAGCCAGACGCCTCCGGCCTAGCTCGCGATTGGGAAACCCCAGCGGCCTGCAGTAAACCCAAGGACTGGACCAACCTGCCCCGCGCCAGCTACCTGGAGGAGTTGCCAAGTCTACCCTGGCCAGCTATCCCGAGGAGCCCATGGTGCTGGAGCCCCCAGAGGACACCACCCCGACCCAGGTACTCCAAGAGGGGGAGTGTGGAAGTAGCCCGGGGGCAACCGACCCTAGTCTGGCTGCAGCACTGCCAGAGCCCATGTCAGTATGTTGCGGCCGGGATCCCCACTGACGCAGCAGCGGGTCTTCTGCCGCTGCTAGGGCCCCGGGCTGGGACGCAGTGGAGTGGGAGGGCCTGCGTCCCCCCTGCCACCCCATTCATGGGTGGCTGTCTCCCCTCTCCCAGGCCCTTTGGGACCTAGGGCCTGGACCTGCTGTTTATATTGTTGCTGTTCAGCCCCTGCCTGAGGGCTTGAGCGCCTGACTCACCAGTGCCCCGCCCTGACCTAGGGCCTGGGCTCGCTGTGTTTATTTCTGCCCTCACCGAGGCCGCCGAGGAAGTCTCCCGCGGCCGAACTAATTCCCCACAAGGCATCTTCCCGAGTGTAGCGAGGCGGTGTGGTTCCCCGCCGCCCCGGAGAGAGACGAGCCCCGGCTAACCTCTCTACACCACCCAATGGCCTACCCAGCAGGCCCGGCTGCCTTTTGTCAGACATATGTAAAGCCACAGAGCTGTGTGTACAGGACAGCCACAGACACACGATCATGTCTCCAAATGAAAGTTAATTGAGGCCTGGGCTATACTTGGACTTTACATCGGTACAGTTACCTCTCTGCAGGGTGTGGAAAATGCCATCCTACGCGCCCCCCTCCCCCCCCTTGTAAACAGCACTAGGTCAGCATAAGAATTCCTCCGTTGACCTAGCTAACACCTCTAAGGTGTCGGCTGTGTTGCTGTGTCAGTCTCAGGATACTAGAGAGACAAAGTGTGTGAGGTAATATCTTTTATTGGACCAACTTTGGTGGGTGAGAGAGACAAGCTTTCGAGCCCTCTTCTTCAGGGCTGGGCAACGTACTCAGAGTGTCACAGCTAAATACAAGAACAGGCCGGCTGGTCCAATACAAGATATCAACTCAGCCAACTTTTCTCCTTCGTATGCTGACACCTTCCAGCCACCACCTTCTTCTTCTTCTAGTTTAACACGGATATTGTGGTAGCACCAAAAGCTGCAACAAAGTTGTGCCCCGTTGTGCTAAGTGGTTCATCAACATAAACTAAATTATGAGTATAAAATGCTCCCATGCAAGTTTGGTGGCATTTTACTCGCCTTTTGGGGTGGCCTGACCCAAAGCCTATGGGAGTATGTCAGCTGAGTCCATGTGCCTTTGGATCAAGCTCTGTATGTCCAGGCAGGGTGCAAGCCAGTGGAAAATCAGCTTAGCGCTGTGTGCTTGGTATTTCCAAAGGGCTGGGCACAGTTCTGCTTTATGCCTAGCAGTATAATGATTCTGCTGGCCATAACCACTAGAGTTAAGTTGCAAAAACTTTTTCAGTGTCAGCTATTTTCACCCATTCATAACATTCAAGATTCTGTGAGGGACCAGACCTTTATACCAGAATATCCAGTGGTATAATAGGTAATGGGAACCAAAGTGCTTCGGAAGGGAGATTAAACCTCCTGCGTCAGGGTTTAAATAAATCTCTGTTGGGGTTAGGAGGAGATGTTCCTAGAGAGGCAGATTAGCTCAGATCTGTAGGGCTTTTTACACCTTTCTAGGAGGCAGCTGGTCCTGGCCACTGTCCGAGTCAGGACATCAGGCTAGATGGACCTAGGGTCTTATCCAGTCCGGCAGTTCCTGTTTTACAAAAGCTTTACTTTTTTGGGCTTAAATGTTCCCTCCTTGGTCACTTCTTCTGTAGGGGGGTTGTTTTTTAAAGTTTACTTGAAAGTTTTAAGAGGGTTAAAAAAAATCTTTCTCCCACGAACACAAAGATTCTCCCCACTGTCCTTCTCCTGGTGATCTACGCAACGATGGCCTTGGTGCGTGAGCTGGCCTGAACGCTGACGGTGCGCTGTGCTGAGTTTGAACTGGCGTGCTTTCTATGGACACCCTTCTAAACTTTTGCAGATGCGCGATTGATCACGTGCAACGGGAGTTTCTGTTAAACTGGGGTTCTGCTCTGAAAGGGGGCTACGTAATAACTGCATCGTCTTCCTCAACTGGGCTGCTCCGGGGGTGTATTTGAAATCAGATGCGCTGGCTGTTAGGGACGGATGTCTGTTTTTCCATCCCCGTTAGCTCCGGGGAGGCACCAGAGCTCTGGGAGAGGGAGCTGGGGGCTCTTTTGCCATGTGCATCACCAGCAGAATTGTTTACCAAGTTCCAATCAATGGCGGGGGGAGTGTGAGAAGGAAAGAACCCAATTTGGCTCTCAGGGCACGATCCTCCCCTGCCTTGGCCCCCGGGTGAGTCATTTACACCTGCACAAAATGCTTCCGAGTCAAAATCCTCACTTCCACCAGCAGCTACGTTTTACACCCACTTGGCCCAGGTGCAGATGATTCTGGGGGAGTGGTCTGCTCCGATCCCAGAGGGGCTTGCAGGGCTGGTAGTCAGAGCCCTCCCTGCCCGTGCCTCAACCGTCTTACACGTAAACAGGGTACGTTTGATCTGGAGTCAGAGAGACGATAAACCCAGAGCCCCCCGGTGCCTTTTCAGGGTGGTTACGCCCCTGAGGCTCAATCCTGCACTCACTGAAGCCAGTGGGAGTTTTGTCATAGGGTGTGACAGAGCCCCTAAGACAGATGCATTTGGGACAGGCCAGCTGTGCTGCTGTTTGGTTACCGGTCTTATCGCCTTCTTCAGGAGTTGGGTTCATACGGAAGCTGAGTCACGTACATGCCCCACACACTGTGAGCAAGGGGGCTATGTGTCCCCCGCATGCCCTTCTCAGGAACTAAAGTGACTTTGTTGAGGAGGGGGTGAGGGAACGGCCAGGAAGGAAGCGTCGCTTTAAGAATCATGGCTAGGTTTGGAAAGAGGTTGGTTAATTTGATCTTTGTAGATAAGGGGCTAAAAGAAGGGTAAATAAATCTCATGCTTCAGGGCATAAGCAAGTCGCTGCAGGGGCCAGGAAGGAATCCCTGCTCCGCACTACACAGCTGGCTAGGGTGGATTCTGGAGCAGGCTTCACCACTCTGAAGCATGGGGATAATAAACTCTATGTTCCAAAGGGAGCAAGTGCATTTCTTGGCCACTCCCCTCTCAATCCGGACTACAGCTGTATGTCGTAGAGAAGGCAGCCCTGCCTTGTTGTAGGGTGCCTGGGAATGTCATGGGGATATTTAGTATTCAGCATGCATTGTCTTCGGACTGCTGCAGGGGTCATTTATAGGGCAGATCTCTGCTTGTTTCTGGGGGAAGCAGCCAAACACGGATCTGTGGTTGCTGTCAGGGAAAAGGGGGTGAACGAAGACCAAAAGATATGGCAGCTGCCGGAGGTGCTCCGCGTGATCCGGGAGCTGCTCTATAGCAAGGCTAACAGGGAGCAGATTAGATCTGCAAGGGGAGCCTTAAGAATGTGGGTAACAGCTGTGCCCATGGTTACAGGGCTAGCTGCATCTCTGTCCTCTGCCTGATGTGCCAGGCCTCATGCCCTTACGTCTCCTGGGGTGGAATCATGTGATTCTCCCCCTTTTAGACCAGGGCCTGGCCTATAGCACCCTGAGATTCACCTGTGCCTACCCCAGCAGCTCCGTCTGGGCTCTGAACCTGCCTTTCTTCCCTTCAGGAGCCTGTGATCGTGATGGAATTCACAGTGACCAGATGGCCTTGTGCAACCAAAGTACCATTTAACCTTAACTGGAGGAACATAACGTAAGAGGAAAAGGATTTTAAATCAACAAACAGTCTGTCTGACGTAAAGCCCTACCATCCTGCGATGGGGCCCCTGGCAGGCCTACCTACTCCAGACATCCCCAGCATTGTCTGTCCATCTGGTCAACTTCTCAGCAACTGCTCTGCTGGCCTCTGGACCAAGAGCGACCTTTTAATTCTTTGCAGTCCTTCTGCGCTGCTGGCGCCCAGCCTTGGCATATGATCTCTGCGACCGGGGCTGAGCCCGGAGGTAGGATCTTCACAGCGAGGCGCTCAGGCGTTGCCTCTGTCACCCTGAACTGTTTACCAGGAGGGAGCTTATCTTGAGCTACTGTTTAACTTCCTGCTTGTTTTTCCCAAGAGACGGCTATTAAACTGAACCAAGGTAGTCATACAGGACCCATCCTATAACCAGGTCAAATACAGTGTCTGCAATTATTACAGAGCAGCGCCCCGTCTGCCACAGACCGGCTGAGCCACCACAGCAGTGGGACCAAATGTTTTTTAAATAATAAAAATGTGCGGCTGGGGGACGTAGTCTAGAACGGGATGTAGCCTGCCACTGGATTCCAGCCGCAGGGCAGTGTTGTGAGCACTGGTGCACTTATGCTGCCACCTTAAGGCCGCTCCGTGGAGCTACATTTTTGTGTACATGTAAGTGCTTGTGAAATACTTGTTCAAAGGCTTCGTGCACAAGATCTGAGCAGTAGCGTTGAGTGGGTCCAGTTGAGCTCAGGGAACCCGTGTGAGAGAAAGGACTTACCCCAAGGGACTTCCAATCTAGGCAGGCAAAGGGTGGGAGCAAGGGAGTGTCGTTGGCCCCATTTCAGAGGAGAACTGAGGCCCAGAGATGCTAACTGACTTGCCCAAAATCACCCAGGGGCGCGGTGGCAGAGGCAGGAATTAAACCCAGCTCTCTGGAGAGCTGGTCCTGTGCCATAGCCACAAGGCCTCTGCCCTCTTCAGTCTCCTACCTCAATCCCCTGCTGCTGCCTACCATCCCACCCTCGCACCCCCTCAGCTTCCCAGGAGGATGCAGTGAGAGTGCACGAGCCCACAACAGCATCACCCCGGGTGCCTGCGGGGTTCTTCCAACACAGCCCTGGGGCGACAGTGGAGTACAGCTCAGGGGAGGCGGCGCTGGCTTGAGGGGACCTGACCTCCCTCTCCAGTGACCTTGGCTTCGCACCTGCGCCCGCGGCGGGCTGCTGCTTGTGGCAAGCCCAGCACGGGGTAAGTGTCTACACACTCCCACTTTCCTGGGGGCTCTCAGGCAGCCAGGGCTGCCCTCAGAGGGGCTGGGGCCGGTCCAAGGCTACTCAGATTCAGCACAGCCCTGGGGAAGAGGGGTGAGCGTCTCCGGGCCTCCCGTTAATGATGCCCTTCCCGGGCAGAGCTCCTAGAGCACGGACCCCACAGGCCTTCCTTGGGGGGGAGTCACTCTTTCTCTCTCACACACAGAGACAGGAGTTTTCAGGCCGGTGGCCAGGAAAGGGTTAAGGCAGGTTACCTTGGGCTCTGGGTCCTGCCCTAGTGAATGCGTGAGCAGCAGGTGCCATAGGAGAGCAGAGCCGCTCTGTGTCATTGGCCCTGGGGAAGGGGCCATCCAGTGCCTGTGAGCCGGCCGGCATGCCCAGGGGACATGGCCCCGGGGCTGAGGAGCGAAGCACTTTCAGGGAAGGGCGAAACAGGGATGGATTCTGAACCAGCCTGGCCGTCGCTAGCCCTGCCCTCCCCTTCTGAGCCAGGCAAAACACGCTGCCCTTCGCCTGCTCTCCTGCTGCAGGGCAGTGCCAGGCACCTCAGTCACAGCACCTCCCGGGTGCCGCATGGAGACGGCGCCGTGAGCTGGGGTGCCCTGCCCATAGCAAAGCGTGGTACCCCCAGCCCTACCGCCCAGGGACTCCCCTGCTGGGAACCAGCCAGGAGGCCTTGAGGTCACCCTTCCACCAGCACAGCCACCCCGGGCCTTGTGCCTTACCCTCTGCTGCCTCCTGGTGGCTGCTGCCCGGCACTCCTTGAAAGCAGAACCGTTTTTTAAAAACTTCCATTTCTGCTCTTTGTAGCGGTTCAGGGAGCCTGCCTTCCTCTTCCGCAGAGTCCACTGTGACAGCGTTGGTCTCTCTTTGGACACCGAGAGAAGTTATGGGGAGTGAAGAGGTTAAAGTCTAATTACCCTTCTGTGAGTGATCGTTAATGACAAAGGGTCATCACCACCCCACCTCCCCCACACACAAAGGAGCCCTAAGCAATGTACAAGGGGGCCATGTCCACCTCTACTCTGTTGGTGGGAGAGGTCAAATGGAAGCAGCTTCTGGACACCTCAATAGATTGTGTGTTTCAGGAGGTGGGGGGCAGCAGATGTAGCTCACACAACTCTGGTCTTCTGCAGGAGCTGCTCTGTGTCCAGGTACCTATTGTGGTGTATTGAAAACTGTGTCAAAATTGTACGCTATCACTTTAAATGCTCAGCGGGGTTTCCTGGTCCTCCATGCAGGCCAGGGGCTCTGTAGGGAAGCTAGCAGAGTCAGTCTGCAAAGAGCCAGCCTAGAGCAAGGTGGGATGAGTTGTGCCTCTCTGATTTAGGGAGCAGCCTGCTTTGTCTCTCTCTGTATTTGGTTCTTGTGTGTTAAGTCTCTGTATTCTAAGAAATTAAAGTCATGCTACGTTGCAACTTCCAACAAGAGTATTTTATATTGTGATAGACCCAGGCCAGTTGGGAACAGCAGAGTAGCAGAAGGGAGATATACTGGCCACTGGATAAGTAGTTTTCTGTTCCCTGAGTGACCAGAGCAGGGGCTGCTGCAGGCTAATAGACCACCTGACTCCAATTAACCTGCTAAGAGTCAGGTGAGGCAATTAAGCACGTGACTCTAATTAAGGCCCCTCTGATGCTATAAAAGGGCTCACTCCAGTCAAGCCAAGGGGAGCCAGGGAGTCAGAGGAGAGGAAAGCAACAGAGGGTCCTGAATCTGCTTTTTACAGATTCAGACTAACACGGCTACCCCTCTGATAGAGGAGAGGAAGTGTGTGAGAGGAACTGGGAGCAAGAGGTGTGCAAGAAGCTGAGAGTGAGTAGGCGTACTGCTGGAGGACTGAGAAGTACAAGCGTTATCAGACACCAGGAGGAAGGTCCGGTGGTGAGGACAAAGAAGGTGTTGGGAGGAGGCCATGGGGAAGTAGCCCAGGGAGTTGTAGGTGTCATGCAACTGTACCAGGAGGCACTCTAGACAGCTGCAGTCCACAGGGCCCTGGGCTGGAACCCGGAGTAGAGGGCGGGCCCAGGTTCCCCCCATACCTCCCAACTCCTGATCAAACACAGGAGGAATTGACCTGAACTATAGCTTCTACCAGAGGGGAAGGTCTGTGGACTGTTTCCTGACCCACAGGGTGAATCTGTGAAGCGAGCAAATCTGCCAATTAGCACAGGACCCACCAAGGTAGAGGAGGAACTTTGTCACAATATTTTTATCTATTTTCTCTGTTTGTAAGTGGTGAACATAACACCTATGTGGCCCCTATCACTGTAAAATCGGTGTGCCTTCCAAATGAAACTCACTATGTGTGTGGTGGGGCTCATAGTGACAAAGCCTGGAGCTCACAACAGCATGGGTAACTGCGCACGGGGCCCTGAGCACGTCTCTGCAGGGAGGCTCTTTGCCTCGTGCCCCTTCCTGGGGATCCCCGGGGGTGGGATGGGATCAGATAAGGGTCGCTCTGGTAGGATGCTCTGTGAGGAGCCAGGCACCCTCCCTCCCCTATCACTGCTGTAGGAATTGGATCCATGGGCTCCCCAGAAATGGCCCTGCCCCATAGGAGATTCTCACTGACCCCTGCCCTGACCAGCTGAACCTTCCATATGGGGTGGGGCCGGCCCTTGGACCCAGCCTTCCCACCCCAACCTCTCTCCAGGGGGGCAACTGAAGCTGGGGAGGGCTGAGCCGGTGGATCAGTCGCCAGCTTCTCATCAGCTCTGGGCAAAGGGGCTCCCTTCAGAGCAGGAAATGCGTTCCGGGCCCCGGCCAATGGGAGCTGCGGAGTCAGCACTCAGGGTGGGGGCAACATGTGGAGCCCCCGTGGCCACCTGTATGCCTAGGAGCTGGAGGGACATGCCAGCCGCTTCCCGGGAGTCATGCCACAGAGCCGGGCAGGGAGCCTGCCAGCCCGGCTGCGCCGCCAACCAGCCTTTTAACAGCCCAGTCAGTGGTGCTGACCGTGGCCGCCAGGGGACAGCACATGGAGTCACCTGGCTGCCCCCGAGCTGGAGCGACATGCCGGCCGCTATTCCACGGCTAAGCACCGCCAGGAGCCCGCGCCCTGCACCCTGTCCCATGTTTCCTGTGATTAGAAAGCTGAAAACCTCAATGCAGACAGGCCCTGTGGTTCTCCCAGACTCGCTGCCTCGCAGCCTGGGTGGGCTGGGACCCACCCCCGGGGTCTCCCTAGTGCCAGCCTGGAGGGGGCAGCCATGGAGCAGGCCGGTGCCTCCAGCTCCTCCAGCCCCTAGCGCCGTGTCTCGCCCGTGTGTGTTTCAGGGAGCGAGAGTGAGACGGGCCGTGTGGAGAATGTGGAGACCAGGCAGGCTCTCAGTCCTAGGCTTTGTCATCAGAGAAGGAATCTGGAAAGACTGAACAGGCGTCTCAGCTCGGGAGCGGATGGCACCTCCGGTCACTCCCCTCTGGCTGGGCCCAGCCGGCCTCCCCTCCCTCACCTGTTCCCCGGCGCTGCTGAGCTGTCGGCGAAGGTTACACGTCAGGAGTAAAAGCAGGAACCAATAAAACAGGAACCTCTGAGCTTGGCTCCCTCATTCCCAATGGCCCCGGCTCGAAGGGGCGCAGGGCAGGGTCCCGTAGGCAGCCCAGAGCTCCCAGCCGCTGCAGTAACCCCATCCCCACCCCTCTCCAGTGGGGAGTAACGCTGCATCCCCACCACAGCTGGAGCGAGGCCCATGGAGCTGGGCTCCGCCCACCTGCCCATGGGTAGCACTAGGCCCTGCCCCGGCCTCCACTCTCACAGCCGGGACCTAACTCATGTCCTGACACTGAAGAGACTGGCCGGTTCCCCGGCTCCCAGCCAGGCCATGAGGAGACAGGGTGCCGGGAAAGGTCTTTGCTCAAGGGGACATGGGGCTGGATGAATCTCTAGGGAGAAGCCAGGCTCCCCTGGCCTCCCAGTGCTGGGGACCCCCTTCTCCTGGTCTATATTGCCAATGGCACCCACCCAGAGGGGCTGACTTTTGGTTTTGCCGGTGGGTGCCCCACCCCTTAAGGGCAGAGAGGAGTGAGTGGCGGGGCAGCTTTGGTCAACAGCTGATCGGCGGCGCAGACGCTGAAGAGTTGATGGGGGCGCAGGGCCAACCGCTGAACATCCGATTGGCAGCTGCCGCCAGAGCAGCAGCCCAGGCCAGCCCCCTGGGTGCTGAGACCCCCTAATATTTCTCTGCAGGTGCTTGAGCCCCTGAGTACCCATGGAGTCGGCGCCAATAGATTCAGTTTCATTCCCAGTATCTGAACGCACTTCATAGAATCATAGAAGATCAGGGTTGGAAGGGACCTCAGGAGGTCATCTAGTCCAACCCCCTGCTCAAAGCAGGACCAACCCCAACTAAATCATCCCAGCCAGGGCTTTGTCAAGCCGGGCCTTAAAAACCTCTATGCATAGAGATTCAATCACCTCCCTAGGTAACGCGTTCCAGTGCTTCACCACCCTCCTAGTGAAATAATGTTCCCTAATATCCAACCTAGACCTCCCCCACTGCAACTTGAGACCATTGGTCCTTGTTCTGTCATCTGCTACCACTGAGACCAGCCGAGCTCCATCCTCTTTGGAACCCCTCTTCAGGTAGTTGAAGGCAGCTATCAAATCCCCCCTCACTCTTCTCTTCTGCGGACTAAACAAGCCCAGTTCCCTCGGCCTCTCCTCATAAGTCATGTGCCCCAGCCCCCTAATCATTTTTGTTGCCCTCCGCTTGACTCTCTCCACTTTGTCCACATCCCTTCTGTAGTGGGGGGCACCAAAACTAGACACGGCTTTGACTCCTTTAACGCTGGGCTGATCAGACGCCCTGGAGATGCCGTGTAGTGACTGTCAGGGCTGATGGCTCAGTGTGAGAGACAAAGTATCACGTACGAGTAACGGGACAGAACAGTCTGTGCTAACTCATCCTGCCCCTCACGCCCACCCCAAACACCCCAGGGGAGGGGTCTGCCCGGGCCCAGGGTCTATGGGTGATATTACAAAATAGTTCTTGCTCCAGGTTTCCATGCAGTGAGGAAACCTGCTGGAGAGATCCGTTAAGTGGCAGTTTCAGTGTATTGCACACGAGGCACTTTCCTGTTTCCGGGGGGGGCGGGGGAGGGGAAGATTCCTAAACCCCCAAGGTACCTCCCCATGTGGGAGAGGGGAAGGCTGGTTAAAAACCTCCAGCACCCGCCAGTCGCTCACAAAACCCCCAGCCCCACACGAGGCCGAGGCCCCTCTCCCAGGGGAATCTGTGGCACAGCCCGAGAGTCCCGGGAGGAGACGCAGCCCGAGGAGACGATGAGGCGTTTGTGGCTGGTGCTGCTGCTGGTTCTGGCGCTGGCCGGGGCTGCCCTGGCTGGGCCCATCCTGCAGCAGCCGCTGGGCGTGGAGGGTCCCGGCGCGGTGGCAGCGCGTGATGGGGCGTCACCCCAACGGCAGCCGCTGGTGAGTCCTGCGCACGGGGCCCTGAGCACGTCCCTGCAGGGAGGCGCTCTGCCTCGTGCCCCTTCCTGGGGTTCCCGGGGGGGGTGGGATGGGATCGGATACAGGGTCGCTCTGGCAGGATGCTCTGGGTGGAGCCAGGGACCCTCCCTCTCCCCGTCCACACTCTGGGAATTACATTTCCCTACCCAGGGGATCCACGGCCTCCCCAGAAATGACCCTGCCCAAGGGAGATTCTCACTGACCTCTGCCCTGACCAGTCGAACCTTCTGTATGGAGCAGACCCGGCCCCTGAACCCAGCCTCCCCTGCCCTCTCCACAGTGGCCGCCCCAAGCACCTGCTTGGCAAGCTGGTGCCTGGAGCCGGCCCTGGTTAGGGGCAGGAGGCAAAGGGATGACAGAGGGAGAGCAATGGAGAGAAGCCTGCCCAGAAAAGCCAGGGGGAGTGTGAGACGTCCCGGCTGCAGAATGCCCCCGGCTGGATGTGCGGTGAGTGTCACCCCACCACAGGCGTAATTCGCTCTACAGAGCATCACCACCCAGCCCGCCTCCCCAGCCAATGAGCGTTTGCCGTTGTGTGATAATGCTCCCGCCCGCCTCCCCCCACATCACTCTCCCTTCAGGGACCTGGGATGGCTCCTGCTCATGTATCTCTTAGAATCAGAGAATCAGAGAATATCAGCAAAAAGAACCGGAGTACTTGTGGCACCTTAGAGACTAACAAATTTATTAGAGCATAAGCTTTCGTGGGCTACAGCCCACTTCTTCGGATGCATGTAGAGTGAAACATATATTGAGGATATATATATACACACATACAGAGAGCATGAACAGGTGGGAGTTGTCTTACCAACTCTGAGAGGCAGGGTTGGAAGAGACCTCAGGAGGTCATCTAGTCCAACCCCCTGCTCCAAGCAGGACCAACCCCAATTAACTCTTGACCAGCCCCGGCTGGGAGGTTCCCGGTTTAGCCCCCCCAGATGCCGCCCAGGGCCCCGTCGCACCTGCAGGGGACAGAGGCCGAGCAGGGCCCATGGCTGAGCCAGGCAGGGCAGGGTGCACTTTGGACACCCTCCCCCTCCCCACTGCAATACAGACAGAGCCTGGGCACAGCAGATCAGTGGTCACAGCCCCTGGGGCCTGACGCGTCTCGTGGGGAGGACACGGGGCTCGGCTGGGACCAATGCAAAGGGGATTCTGGGCTGAGGCTGCCGGACACTGACAGTCCCTGTGGTTCTCCCAGGCTCGCTGCCTCGCTGCCTGGGTGGGCTGGGACCCACACCCGGGGTCTCCCTAGTGCCAGCTTGGAGGGGGCGACCATGGAGTGGTTCGAAGCCTCCAGCTCCTCCGGCCCCTAGCGCCATGTCTCGCCCTTGTGTGTTCCAGGGAGCGAGAGTGAGACGAGCCACGTGGAGAGTGTGGAGACCAGGCAGGCTCACAATCCTAGGCTCTGTCATCAGAAAAGGAATCCGGAAAGGCTGAACAGGCGTCTCAGCTGGGGAGGGGACGGCACCTCCGGTCACTCCCCTCTGACTGGGCCCAGCCGGCCTCCCCTCCCCCACCTGTTCCCCAGGCCTGTTGTGCTTTTGGCCAAAGTTATGCATCAGGAGGGAGCTTGCTGCTGGCTGCAGGGTGCTGGAGCTCCTAACCCCTCCCAAATGCTGCAGGTGGAGGCTGGGCCCTGTCTGTCCTGGGAGGCTCATTCCCTCCACGCCAGGCCATGAACCTGCTTTGCTGAGCCTGGAGCGTCTCGTGTGTTTTGCATTTATTCACTTGCACCAATAAAAGCAGGAACCTCTGGGCCTGGCTCCGTGGTGGGGTGCGGGGAAGGGAAACGACTCATCTCCCAGCGCCCTGCTCCCTCATTCCCAACGGTCTCGGCTCGAAGGGGCACATCGAAGGGTCCCATAGGGGTCCCTCGCTTACATTTACGATTCTCAGACAATCAGGCTCTGGGTGTCATCGATTTGGAACCCAGAAACGGAAAGAACCAAAATCCACAGCCCCTTTGGAAATATTTGATCTTAACCTCTCCATGGCCGTGGGGCCACGTGCCCCATCCACTACCTCTGAACTTTAACGCCATGACTGGAGAGCCAAGGTTTTCAAAAGTGTCTCCTCAGTTTGGGGGCCACACTCCAGTAACACTTCAAGGTCGGTGATTTTCAGACACGTCTCAGCCCCCACAGGCGGATTGGCTGGGCCCTGCAGGGCGGCTCATGTTGGGCCCCCAAACTCACCAGTCAGTCTGGAAATTCTTGGCCTCTGGCTTTATCACACAGAACCATTCCCAGCGGCGCAGGAATCTCAACGCACGTCAGCACAGCCCTGAACTGCTCCCTGGCACCGGGCAGGAAATGGAAGCAGAGTCCCATTGAACACACACAGGTTGCAGCACCTGCTGCCTCAGCCAAAAGCATTCATGTAATTAACCCTTTACTGGCGCTGCCCTCGCCTCCTCCCGCCCCTCCCCCCCCCTTGTGCACACACAAGGCTGGACGTGGTACACACGGCTGTGTGGGGATCCCCAGGGCTCACAGGGACTGACCTTCCCTCAGACAGGCAAGATTTTCGTTCAAATTTCCCCCCTTCCCTACCCCAGGTTCGGCTCCGCCCGGGGGTGAGAATACAGGGAGCACAGACAGGGGTGCAGGGGGGGGGCGGTGTTTTGAGCCCTGTGGTGTCTAACCCTGTTCAGAGCAGGGCTGCACACCATGGTGGGTAAAACACACTCACATACCTTACTAGTCCCCCTCGGCCCCCCTCTGCCCAATATCACCCCGGGACATCTCGTTCCAGCCCCGGGGGCTCTGAGCAGCTCTGCCATGTTACAGGGGGGAATCCCACGGCTTTGACTCCTTTAGCACTGGGCTGATCAGACGCCCTGGAGATGCCGTGTAGTGACTGTTGGGGCTGATGGCTCAGTTTGAGAGACAAAGTATCACATACGAGTAACGGGACAGAACAGTCTGTCCTAAGTCATCCTGCCCCTCACGCCCACCCCCAAACACCCCAGGGGAGGGGTCTGCCTGGGCCCAGGGTCTATGGGCGACGTTACAAAATAGTTCTTGCTCCAGGTTTCCATGCAGTGAGGAAACCTGCTGGAGAGATCAGTTAAGTGGCAGTTTCAGTGTATTGCACACGAGGCACTTTCCTGTTTCCCTTGGGGGGGGGGGGAGGTCCCTAAACCCCCAAGGTACCTCCCCGTGTGTGAGAGGGGAAGGCTGGTTTGTCATGGTGAGGTAATTCCCCCCCACCCCTGTCAGCCTCTCTGCAGGGAGCTGGGATGGCTCCTCATGTATCTCTGAGAATCAGAGAAGCTTGGGGTTGGAAGAGACCTCAAGAGGTCATCTAGTCCAACCCCTGCTCCAAGCAGGACCAACCCCAATTCAATCTTGCCCAGCCCCAGCTGGGAGGTTCCTGCTTTGCCCCCAGGCTCCTAAGCACTGCCAGACACTGCCCAGCCCCCAGTCATGCCTGCAGGGGACAGAGGCCGAGCAGGGCCCATGGCTGAGCCAGGCAGGGCAGGGCCCACTTTGGACCCCCCATTTCAATGCAGACAGGGCCTGGGCACAGCAGATCAGTGGTCACGGCCCCTGGGGCCTGTCATGTCTCGTCGGGAGGACACGGGGCTCGGCTGGGACCAATGCAAAGGGGATTCTGGGCTGAGGCTGCCGGACGCTGGCGGCCCTGTGGTTCTCCCAGGCTCGCTGCCTCGCAGCCTGGGCGGGCTGGGACCCACACCCGGGGTCTCCCTAGTGCCAGCCTGCTGGGGGCAAGTGTGGGGGAGGGATAGCTCAGGGGTTTGAGCATTGGCCTGCTAAAGCCAGGGTTGTGAGTTCAATCCTTGAGGGGGCCACTTAGGGATCTGGGGCAAAAATCAGTACTTGGTCCTGCTAGTGAAGACAGGGGGCTGGACTCGATGACCTTTCAGGGACCCTTCCAGCGCTAATTTAAAAAAAAAAAAAAAAAAAAAAAAAAGGGAGTGGTTCGTTGCCTCCAGCCCCCAGCTCTGTGTCTCGTCTGTGTGTGTTTCAGGGCAGGAGAGTGAGACGGGCCACGCAGGCACCAAAGACCATAGATTGGCTACCTGGCAGCCTCTCGGTGGTACACCATCCCATTGGGGTGAAAATCATTCATGTGCCCAGACGCCACGCCTAGGGAGGGGACGGCACCTCCAGTCACTCCCCTCTGGCTGGGCCCAGCTGGCCTCCCCTCCCCCACCCGTTCCCTGGCACTGCTGAGCTGTCGGCGAAGGTTACACGTCAGGAGTGAGCTTGCTGCTGGCTGCGGGGTACAGAAGCTCCCAGCCCCTGCCGAGCGCTGCGGGCGGAGGCCAGGACTGGGCCCTGTCGGTCGTGGGATTCTCAGTCCCTCCGTGCCGGGCGATGAACCCGCTTTGCTGAGCCTGGAGCTTCCCGTGTCTTTTCCATTTATTCACTTGCACCAATAAAAGCAGGAACCTCTGAGCCTGGCTCCCTCATTTCCAACGGCCCCGGCTCGAAGGGGCGCAGGGCAGGGTCCCGTAGGCAGCCCAGAGCTCCCAGTCGCTGCAGTAACCCCATCCCCACCCCTCTCAAGCAGGGAGTAAGGCCCCGCTCCCAGCACAGATGGAGTGAGGCCCATGTAACCGGGCTCCTCCTGCCTGCCCATGGGTAGCACTAGGCCCTGCTCCGGCCTCCACTCTGACAGCTGGGACCTGGCCCGTGTCCTGACACAGAAGGGAGTGGCCGGTTCCCCGGCTCCCAGCCAGGCCATGAGGAGACAGGGCGCCGGGAAAGGTCTTTGCTCAAGGGGACATGGGGCTGGATGAATCTCTAGGGAGAAGCCAGGCTCCCCTGGCCTACCAGTGCTGGGGACCCCCTTCCCCGGTCTATATTGCCAATGGCACCCACCCAGAGGGGCTGACTTTTGGTTTTGCCGGTGGGTGCCCCACCCCGGCTTCGTCAGCTCTCCTAAGGCCCCACCATCATTCCACCTCTTCCCGCCCCCGCTCGGCCCCCTCCCCCAAGACCCAGTCCCCTGAGCGCCTCCTGGCCGCCCACCTCCTCCTTTCTGCCCTCTCCTGTCTTAAGGGCAGAGAGGGGCGAGTGGCGGGGCAGTCCCTCTCTACAGCTGATCGGCGGCGCAGACACTGAAGAGCTGATGGGGGCGCAGGGCCAGCTGCTGAACAGCTGATTGGCAGCCCCCCCTAGAGCCCCCAGAGCAGCAGCCCCGTCCAGGCCCGATTTCTCTGCAGGTGCTTGAGCCCCTGAGCACCCCTGGAGTCGGCGCCAATAGACCCAGCTCCCCAGGGTCTGTGCGATGGGCGTCGGGTCTTGGGGCAGGGGGGGTCTGCCCTAAGGCTGGCAGGGCAGCAGCTGCTCGTTGGCCCATGGGCGCGGGGGGGGGCACTGTCTGAACTGGGCACTAGAGAAATTTCCTTCCCCTGAAGCAGCAGGGCCTGGCTGGCACCACGGCAGGTCGGCCACCAATGCAGATGGGCCACTGGACTGCCCCTGTTTGCAGCCAATAGATGTCACTGCTTACCCCGTGGGAGGGGCTGCTGTTTAACAACACGAGGGGTCCGTGGTCTCATCTCTCCCACCCTCCCCAGAGCCCTGTCGCACAGGGGGTGGAACAGACATTAATGGGGCCTTATCGGCCGTTTGTTTTTAAGTCTCTGAGTCCTGCATTAGGCCAACATTGTCCAATGGGCCCAGGAATTTTGGCTCTTAGTTCATAGGGTCCCCTCCGGACACTTGCAGGGTCTGGGCTCCCGAAGGGCTGAGCGGGAGGAGGGGGTTGCTCAGGCGTCTCAGACAATCAGGTTCTAGGTGTCCCAAATGGGGAACCTGGAAACTGAAACAGCCAAAATCCACAGCCACTTTTGCCATTTTCAACCTAAACGTCTCCATGGCCGTGGGGCCACGTGTCCCGTCCACTAGCTCTGACCTTTAACCCCACCATGGGGAGAGCCACGATTTACAAACGTGACTCATGAGTTTGGGTGCCCAACTCCAGACACCTTTGAGGTCGGTGATTTTCAGACACGTCTCAGCCCCCACAGGCGGATTGGTTGGGCCCTGCAGGGCGGCTCAAGTCGGGCCCCAAACTCAGCGCTTAGCAGAGGTGAAAGTAAGCTGGTAAGGCCAATACGGAGAAAATTGAGCATTCGCTCCCTCTCTCACTCCTCCTCCTGGCTCCAGCAATAATGCGGGTCCGGGGCCCGGCTCCACGAATGTTCGGGCCCGGTCTCCCCCCTGGCCCCACCTGCTGCCCCCCCGCGCCTCCCCTGAGTGTGCCCCGGCCCCACTTTGCTGCCCCCATGCACCTCGCTGGGTCCTGGAGCAGAGCCTGTGTCAAGGCTGTATCCCCACTTTGAACTTTAGGGTACAAATGTAGGGGCCTGCATGAAAACTTCTAAGCTTAACTACCAGCTTAGCTCTGGTCCGCTGCCACCATTTCCTAATTAGATTCCCTCCCTGGGAAGCCCTGAGAAACCTTTAACCAATTCCCTGGTGAATACAGATCCAAACCCCTTGGATCTAAAAACAAGGAAAAATCAATCAGGTTCTTAAAAAGAAGGCTTTTAATTAAAGAAAAAGGTAAAAATCATCTCTGTAAAATCAGTATGGAAATTAACTTTACAGGGTAATCAAACTTAGAGAGCTCAGAGGACTCCCCTCTAGTCTTAGGTTTAAAGTACAGCAAACAAAGATAAACACTCTAGTAAAAGGTACATTTACAAGTTGAGAAAACAAAGGAAAACTAACACGCCTTGCCTGGCTATTTACTTACAAGTTTGAAATAGGAGAGACTTGTTTAGAAAGATGTGG